CCACTGTGTCAGGCACAGCACTGGGGACAAAGATGAGGAGACATACTCCCCACCCACCACTCCAAACCTGAAGTATGGAGACAGGTGATCAGCTCAGGATTATGGGCAATGATGACTTGCTCATGGACATCAGGGGTCACAGGGAGCTCACAGAAGCCAGTGCCAATCTCACCTGAAGGCGTCTGAGAAAGTTCTACATAGAAAGCAGCAGTTTGGTTGACTTTAGAAGGGAAAGGAGACGTTTTCCAGACAGAAAAAAAAGATAAAGAAAGTCATATGGAGATATGGAAAAGATATGGAACCCAGCAAGTGCAGGGTCATGAAATGGAAGATCCTATATGCCACACTGGAGAGTTTCCCTCTATCCCCTGGTAAATGAGACACCTTTGAGGCATGTAGCCAGGGGAGCAATGTGATCAGGTTAGAACAATTTGTTAGGAAAATTCCCTCCACGCACACATTGATGCATGGATGTCTCTTTGCAGAACTCCAGAGACTCAGAGCCCATTTATCCAAAATCAAATTCAATAGCCAGCTGTTCCCTCTGGATTTATATTTAGGTCATAGTGTTTGGTTTTCATCAATTGATCTAGGTGAACACCTGAGCTTTAGTCTGAAAACAGGGACGTCAGTGTCCAAAGACACTTGACAGGAGAATCTTCCACCCCAGTCCATGAGCACCATTCACTTCCTGCTGGAAAATGCTGTCCTCCTTAAAGACCCAGCCACAAGAGCCTATTCCGGGTGAGAGATGTCTCCTGTCCTGAATCCATTTCCATATGTTGAGTCCGGTGAAAGACATTCTGTTGACCTGGTCAAAGGCACCACCCTTCCCCTCATCATCACCCGGCAGCAAATGTGTGGTTCTGTTTTTTGGTTTTGTTTTTGTCTTGTTTTGTTTTGTTTACCACATCAGTTGCTCCTGGTCACCTGTGACTTGAGAAGCAAAACTATGTATATCAATGCAAAAAGCTGAAGTGATGTTGGGGGAAGCATCGCCCACTCAAACATACTAGACTAGATTTTTCTCCAACCAGCCTGGAGACCCAGAAGCACCAAGGAACAGGACCAGAGAACTGGAGACTTGGCTCAAGCAAAAGCAGATGGTTTACAATCAGCTAGACTTTAGATACATCCTTCCCCATCTCCTATCTCCATTTTCACCCTAAAAGGTCCTGTGGCCACAAGGAGCCCAATCAATAACCTCATCAGGGTGAGAATGGGACCACAAAATAAACTTGCACTTGCTAGCGTGTTTTGTTTTCACTATTAAGAATCTGATCTGGGCTTTGCAAACACCGCCGCCGCCTGGAGCCTTGTAGTATCAGCCATGGTCAACCCCACGGTGTTCTTCGACATTGCTGTCGATGGCGAGCCCTAGGGCTGTGTCTCCTCCAAGCTGTTTGCAGACAAGATTCCAAAGACAGCAGAAAACTTTCGGCTCTGAGCACTGGAGAGAAAGGATTTGGTTATAAGGGTTCCTGCTTTCACAGAATTATTCCAGGGTTTACGTGTCAGGGTGGTGACTTCACACGCCATAATGGCACTGGTGGCAAGTCCATCTACGGGGAGAAATTTGATGATGAGAACTTCATCCTAAAGCATACTGGTCCCTGCAACTTGTCCATGGCAAATGCTGGACCCAACACAAACGGTTCCCAGTTTTTCATCTGCACTGGCAAGACTGAGTGGTTGGATGGCAAGCATGTGGTCTTTGGCAAGGTGAAAGAAGGCTTGACTATTGTGGAGGCCATGGAGCGCTTTGGGTCCAGGAATGGCAAGACCAGCAAGAAGATCACCATTGCTGACTGTGGACAACTTTAATAAGTTTGACTTTTGTTTTATCTTAACCACCAGACCATTCCTTCTGTAGCTCAGGAGAGCGCCCTCCACCCCATGTGCTCGCAGTATCCTAAAATCTGTGCTCTCGCTGCAGTTCCCTTTGGGTTCCCTTGTTTCCTTGTTCCCTTCCAATCCAGATAGCTGGATTGCAGAGTTAAGTTTATGATTATGAAATAAAGACTAAATAACAACAAAAAAAATCTGATCTGTAATTAGCAAAATAGAAGTACAAACCACACTATAATTCAAAGTCATATTCTTTAGATATTAAACAGGAAAAATCTAAAAGTTTAACAATACAAAGTGTTGGCAAGGATAGGGGTAAAGAGGAATTGCTGATGTGTAGGTAAATTGGGACATGTACTTTAGAAAACAATCTAGTGCCACAGGTGAGTTTCCTGAAATAGATTCTGAGTCAAACCTTGGCATATAGAAAGTTGATTGGGGAGTCTGAGTGAGGTGGCTCACGCCTGTTATCCCAGCACTTTATGAGTTGGAGGTGGGCAGATCACCTGAGGTCAGGAGTTTGAGAACAGCCTGGCCAACATGGTGAAACCCCGTCTCTACTAAAAATACAAAAAGTAGCCAGGCATGGTGGTGGGTACCTGTAATCACAGCTACTCAGGAGGCTGAGGCAGGAGAATCACCTGAACCCGGGAGGATTAGGTTGCAGTGAGTTGAGATTAAGCCACTGCACTCCAGCCTGGATGACAGAGTGAAACTCCATCTCAAAAAAAAAAAAAAAAGAAGAAGAAAGTTGATTGGGGTATTTTAGGGGAGCAACACCTATAACATGTAAAAAAAAAAAAAAAAAAGCAAGGACAGAGGGGATTGTTGAGCTGCAGTACAGTTTCCAGCAGAGATTTCAGCCAGCCGAGGGGAGTTACAGAGCTGGAATGACATTTCAAGATTGTTCCAAATTGAAACAATAAGGACAGGCCTTTGTATCCCCTTACCTCCCCACCGTGGCATACAGGTTATCTCCAGGGAGTGTAACTGTGGGTAGGGCAGCTCCCTTTGGCCAAAATCTGTGAGCTCAGCAGCTGGAGAAATGGGGGCTCTGTCTATAAAGTTGAAAATGTATGTGTTTAATCACCAAGCAGTTCAGCATCTTGGGGTATGCCTTAGGGAAACTCATACCTATACAGCACCTATACAAGGGAGCGTGCACTAGGATAGTACACAAGGGAGCAAGCACCACCAGAGTAGCAGTGACAGTAAAAGTGAAAACCACCTGAAATACGCATGACTAGGAAAACGGATAAACAAACTGTGACACGTTCAAGGGATGCAATGCATGCTTTCCAGTAGTTGCAAGGTTGGACTAAATTCATACATATTGATGTGGATATCTCTCTAACATAAAATTGCTGAGTTTTTTTTAAAAGTAACATCATATTATATCACTTACTAATTTTAAACACAAGGTAAAACTACATATTTATGTACAGATCCTGTGTGTTTGAAGTGTTTAAAAAACGTTGAAGAACACAAATTTAGGAAAGTGGTGACTTTGGATTAGAGACAGATAGGTCCAGCTGTGCAGGGAACCAAATGGAAACTTCAACATTATCCACAATGATCTATCTTTTTTTTTTTTTTAACTGAGTTTTGTTCTTATTATCCAGGCTGAAATGCAATGGCACAGTCTCAGCTCACTGCAACCTCTTGGGTTTCAGCAATTCTCCTGCCTCAGCTTCCCGAGTAGCTGGGATTACAGGCATGCGCCACCATGCCCAGCTTATTTTGTATTTTTATTAGAGACGGGGTTTCTCCATGTTGGTCAGGCCGGTCTCAAACTCCCGACCTCAGGTTATCCGCCCACCTCAGCCTCCCAACGTGCTGGGATTACAGGCTTGAGCCACCGCACCGGCCTCTATCTCTTATCTTTAAAAAAAAATGCAAAGCAAAATCAACTATGTCAGCATTGATTAATTCTGGATGGATTGTGTGTACAGTGATTTAGGTTTCTAATCAGTACTTTTCTGCACGTTTTTAATTCTTCAACAGTTTTTAAGAAGTAAGAGAATAATCCAGCCTGAACTCTTAGACTGTTGTCAGACTAGTAGCTTAGGAAAAGTAATCACAGACCTCTGGCCTGCAGAATCCCTTAATGACCCCTGAAAATGGTCACGCACACACACACACACCCCACAGACACAAGCAGGGCACAAGGGATCTGTCAGTCACTTGTCAAGCCCAGGTCACTATACATGGAACTTAAGATCTCAGAGCTCCAGCAGGCCTTTCTTTAAGAAACCAACTGCATAAAGTGTTCACAATGCAGGGACTGACCACTGCTGTGAATCCCACCTCAGGGAGGCCAAGCCATGTCCTGGGCATCAGAGAGGACGAATGAACAAGGGCAGATCTCAGACGTCCCTGGACAGGCTCCCCCACCAGACATTCTAGAGACAGACTAGCAAAAGTTCCTCTTAGAATTAATTTCATGAAAGCTTTTCATCTTATTCTATGAATTAAACATTATGCTAGAAACTTGAGATATGTTAAATAAAAATAAAAGGTGCTATCCTTGGCCCCGCTGTGCTAACTTTCTAGCATGGTATATAGACACAGACAACAGATCCTGACATGCGTCACTGGTAGAAATGTAGGTAACATGGTCCAACTACAAGGGACAGTGAGGAAGGCTTCTTGGAGAAAGTGCTTCTTGACCTGGGCTTTAAGAGGATAGATTTCTCCTGATAAAAGAAGGGAAGAGGCCAGGTGCAGTAGCTTGAGCGTGTAATCCCGGCAGTTTGGGAGGCCAAGGCAGGAGGATTGCTTGAGGCCAGGAGTTCAAAACCAGCCTAGACTCCATCTCTACAAAAAATTTTTAAAAATTAGCTAGGCATGATGGCGTATACCTGTAATCCTAGCTACTTGGGAGGCTGAAGCCGGAGGATCACCTGAGCCCAGGAGTTCAAGGCAACAGTGAACTATGATTGCACCACTACACTCCAACTGGGATAACAGAGCAATATCTTGTCTCTTAAAAAAAAATTTAAGGAAAGAGAAAACATTCTAGGCAGAAAGACAAACACACGACAAATCCCAGAGCCATAAAGTATATCACTGGAGAATAGGATAGCAAAAAAATGCTGAAAAGGTGGACAGGGCCAGCGTGTCAGTGTACTTACTCATACGTATCCATCAGAGTGGGCCAGGGTGCGCTGCAATGACATCTAAGTTCTTAGAGATCTGTGACTTAGCCCCGTAAAGGTTTATTTCTCACTCACAAAAAGCCTGAGACAGCAGGCTGCCTCCTCCTCCATAGCCTCTCGGCAGGATCTTTTCTTGCCTGGTCCGGTGTCTGGTGGCCCCAGCTGTTCCTTGGCTTTCAGCATCACTCCAATCTCTGCCTCTGTCTTCACCTGGCCTTCTCTCCTCTGTGTCTATCTGTGTCCAGATTTTTCTCTTCCTACAAAGACATAGGTCACAATAGATTAGAGCTCACCCTAATGTCCTCATTTTGACTTGATTATATCTGCAAAGACTATTTTCACATAAGGCCACACTCACAGGTACAAGGAGTTAGAATATCAACATAACTTTTAAGGAGACACACACACACAGCCTCCAAGGTCACCAACGGCAGGACAGGAGAGAGCTCGGGGAAAACACAGGATGTTTTAAGGGTCAGGTGTGGAAGCAGCTTCCATCACTTTTTCCTCTCTCCTATTAGCCAGAACCTGGTCAGTTGGTCCCAGTCTAATGGAAGAGAAGGAGCTTGTAGAGGAGCATATGAATGTCTGGTGAGTACCCACAGTGTTCTCTGTGACTTCCATGTTCAGGAGATCCCAGCCTTTGTCCCTCAGGCAACAGGATGCCAAGAGTGTGCAGAGGGAGAGGGAAGGAGCGGGTAAAGTGAGTGCCGGTCCTTCGCAACGGGTTAGACGGGAGCAATCCAGGAGACCGGATCGGTGAAGATGCCATCAAAGTGACACAGCAGGAGGGTAATGAGGACCAGCAACAGGGCTGGGTCAGCAAGAAGAGAGGGTAAAATCGCTTCGAGGACATTTTCAGAGAACCAGACAGAGAGAAAAGAGAAGGAATCATTTTTCTGTCTTACAGTCCATTCACATCAGAATATTAAAGAGTTTGAGCTGAAGGAATGCATTCAGCTTTGGAGAAACACTTCCAAATAGTTTGCAAAGTTTCACAAATGTCCAAAACCAGAACATTTTGCTAAAATTGTCCATATATTAGATACCACTGAAGTGAGTGCAGAGTTTCCCATAATGAAACCTGGAGAGGAGATGAAGGAGCAAAGTGAAACGAGAAATCTCTCTTTGAGAACGTTCCTTCTTTTGCAAGGGATCATGGAGAAAAGAGTGCATTTTGGAAAAATACCCTGGAGGCTTCATGTTTCCACTCTGATGCCAGTTCTGCAAGATGATGCCAAAAGTTCAGCACCTCTGGAGCAGTAAAAGGAACAAGCCTCAGGGATGACAAAGTCTACACCAGATGCAAGCTAGCGGGGGCAGCTTCCCACAGACATGTTTGAGTTCTGTGCTCTCAGCGATAACTTACCCCAGGACGCCCATGCCCTGGGAGATAAAGAGCTCTCCAGGAGGAGGGAGTCCTGCCTTTCCTGCACCCAGCCACGTCCCTTCCTGGGGAACATGTATATCAGGGCTGTCTAATCTTTTGGCTTCCCTGGGCCACATTGGAAGAAAAAGAACTATCTTGGGTCACACATAAAATACAATAACACGGCCAGGCATGGTGTCTCACACCTGTAATCCAGACACTTTGGGAGACCCAGGCGGGCCGATCATCTGAGGTCAGGAGTTCGAGACCAGCCTGGCCAACATGGTGAAACTCTGTCTTTACTAAAATTATAAAAATTAGCCGACCATGGCAATGTGCACCTATAATCCCAGCTACTCAAGAGGCTGAGGCAGGAGAATCACTTGAACCGGGGAGCTCACCTGCAGTGAGCTGAGATCACACCACTGCACTTCACTTGAGCCAGAAAGTGAGACTTTGTCTCAATAAATAAATAAATAAAAGTATAAAAAACACACACAACACTAACACTAACAATAGCTGATGAGCTATAAAGAAAAAAGTCGCAAAAAAAAAATCTCATGATGCTTTAAGAAAGCTTACAAATTTGTGTTGGGCCACATTCAAAGCCATCCTGGACCTCATGGGACCTGCAGGCCACAGGCTAGACAAGCTTGATGTACATGTACTTGCTTCCCATTCTACTGTCTGTATTTCAGAAGTCAACCTATACTTCCTATAGGTAGTTTTAAACACAAGGCTGAAAGGGATCAATTTCTTCAAGACAAGCCCCCCAAGCCCCTGAAGGGAGGCAAGGCTGAGGATCCCTTCCAGGTAGAAAGCTTCCCAGGCAACAGGCAGGAAGCGGCTATGCTACAGACGCCTTGGGCTCTGTGCTGCGGAGAGCTCAGCTCTGCGTGCAGTGGGTCCACGCTGGGATGCGCATTCTTTGTCGCCTAGTCGAGCTGTAATCCAGAAAGTTAGCATTTGCTTCAGTGTGACACAGACCATATTACAACCATTACCTCTCTTTTCCCACTGCTGCCTGGAGGAACTGCAGCAGGCTGACCTGTGCTGAGGGAGACAAACACATCCTCCACTCAGCTCATGAAACACCGTGTTCCAAACTCACAAAGCATCCCCCAGTCAGAGCAGCCAGCTAAGTGTGGGGACTTGAACAATGTCCTCTTCGCACACTGGAAATGCTGTTTAGAAGCTGAGTGGCTCACACCTCTCATCCCAACACTTTGGGAAGCCAAGGTGGAAGGATTGCTTAAGGCCGGGAGTTCAAGACCAGCCCGAGCCACATAGTTAGACTCCATCCCTACAAAACAATCTTGTAAAAAAAATTAGTTAAATGTGGTGGTGCACACCTGTAGTCCCAGCTGCTCAGGAGGCTGAGGTGAGAGAATCACTTAAGCCCATGAGGTCAAGTCTGCAGTGAGCTGTGATTGCAGCCTGGGTGACAGAGTGAGACCCTATCTCTAAAAATATTACATGATGCTTCAGCCAAAATGCCTTGCTCTTTTTTCTTCTCTTTTTCCTCCCCACTCTCCCATTTAAATCTTTCCTCTCACTCTCTTTTAGCTCAAGTAGATCCTGCTGTCCAGAGCAAAGTGTAAAATCAGGAACAATTTGAAAGAATAGTTGCTGGGCTTGGCGGCTCACACCTGTAATCCCAGCACTTTGGGAGCCTGAGGCGGGGGATTACCTGAGGTCAGGAGTTCGAGACCAGCTGGCCAATATGGTGACACCTTGTCTCTAGCAAAAATTAGCCTGGCATGGTGGGTGGGCGCCTGTAATCCCAGCTACTCAGGAGGCTGAGGAAGGATAATCACTTGAACCCGGGAGGCAGAAGTTGCAGTGAGCTGAGATCGCAGTCATTGCGCACAGTTGACTGGTTATTTCAGGGAAGCAACATCTATAAGGTGTAAAGAAAGCAAGGTGAGTGATTGCACCATTGTACCCCAGCCTGGGCAAAAAGATAAAAAAACTCTGCTCTTTATTTATTCATTTAAATAATATTCAAATAAATGTTTAAATACTTAACAAAAATTAAAATTCTTTAAATAAATAATACTTATATGTGAGAACTAAACAATCTGTACTTATGGACACAGAGTGTGGAACCATATACACTGGAGATCCAGGAGGGCACCAGGCAGGTGAGGGATGAGAAATTACTTACTCGGTACATTATTTTGGTGATAGTTATGCCAAAAGCCCAGACATCACCACTAACCAATATATTCATGAAACAAAACTGCACTTGTGCCCTGAAATTTATACAATGTATACAGTTTTTTAAAAGAATACAGTATTATCAGGTTAAAGGCAAATGGGGAGAGTAGAGTGGTAATCATTCCCCTCTAGAAAGTAAATTCCACTCAACTCTCTTAGACCCCAGACTTTCCAAGGGTAAGGACTTTGCCTAACCTCCATCGGCTCAGACACCACAATGTATCGTGTGAGTATTTTTTATGTGACTTGTGACTAATTGAATGCTTTTTGTATACCTCAGGTGATTTGCACACAGTTAACTGAAAACCAAGAAGGAAAACTCAACGTATCACGAAGCTCCAACCCGTGTGACCTGCTGGAGAACGCAGTTGTAAAGGTGTTTTTCTCTCTAGCAGGGATTGTTGAAACAGATTAGAAATGCCCCAGTAGGGTCTGCTAGCCTTTCCCAGCTGCAGAAGTTGTTAACATATTTTAATCACCCAGATGAACACATAAGGTTAATGATCCTTATGATCTCCTGTAACTTGAAACTCACCTGCTTCAAACTTTTCAGACACTCTTGATTTCGTTCCTGAGAATATCCAAAATCCTGAAATCTTCAAAATTTTACATCAGCAGTTCTCAAACATTCTAATCTCAGAACTTGTTTAGACTCAGAAAAGATATTTAGGACCTCAAAGAGTTTTTGTGTACGTGGGTTATATCTATTAACATTTACCATATTAGAAATTTAAACTGAGAACACTTTCTAATTATGAATTCATGATTAAACAACAATAATAAAACAATTTTTTTTACAGGGTCTCACTCTGTCACCCAGGCTGGAGTGGACCATGGCTCACTGCAGCCTCGACCACCTGGGCTGAAGCGATCCTCCTGCCTCAGCCACCTGAAGTGCTGGGATTATAGTCATAAATCACCATGCCCAGTCATCAAACAATTTTTTTTGGAGGCAGGGTCTTGCTCTGTCACCCAGGCTGGAGTGCAGTGGCACAATCACAGCTCACTGTAGCCTCGACCTCCGAAGTTCAAGCTCAAAGGATCCTCTCCCCCAAGGCTCACCCCACACCCTCAAGTAGCTTGGACTACAGATGCACACCACCCCACCTGACTAATTTTTGTATTTTTTGTAGAGACAGGGCTTCATCACATTGCCCGGGCTGGTCTCAAACTCATGGGCTCAAGTAATTCACCCACCTCAGCCTCTCCAAGTACAGGGATTACAGACATGAGCCACTGTATCTGGCCATAAAACAATTTTTTAATGTAATAATGTTTGTTGTTTAAACAACAATGATAAAACTTCTGTTAATATAAACAATATAAATAAATATAATTAACATATATATAACAAAATAATTGCTATACATGAATATAATTAACATATATAACAAATGTAGCATATATAGCATAATTAACATACAGATATATTTCAACATAATTAGCATAAATAAATGTAATTAACATACACATTTATGAAAATTGTTTTTCAAAGTACACAATTTTTAGTGAAAAAAGTGGTATTATTTTACATTTTTGCAAATCTCTTCATGTCTGACTTAACAGAAAACAACCGGATTCTCATGTCTACACTCAAACTGCTGTGATAAGTTATGTCAGTGTATCTAGAGAAAACCTGGCCTCTCACAGATACACAGTTGGAAAAGAGACGAATACTTAATAGGCATTTCAGATAATGGTGAATATTCTTTTTTGATATTACATCAAATCTCAGTACATAGTCATTTCTTAAAGGTTAGTTGCAATGTGGAATCTGAAACCATATCAGTAACCTTTTCATACTCAACTATATTAAGACCCATGAAATTATCTTGTCCTTTGTCCTTTGAATGGGTCTGTCACACATACATGATTTTCTATCATCATGTCATTTGGAAAATATTGGATCACTGAGTTAAGCAGATCTTCCAAATGTTGTCACAGTATACTTCTACATTATCAAAAAAAATCTCATTTGTTAAATAACCACCATCTCATCAGAAAAGTCTTCAAGTATTAGAGAACTATGCAAGTTAACCATGACAGATGCAAGTTTTTCAAAATTCTAGTTTTCATTTGGAAACTCAAATTTTATTATTGGCTACAAATAATGGCTATCATATTTCTTGAAGAGACAGGCTCCCTTTGCTCACGTTTTGAGAAAATATCTGGCAGGTATCCAAGTCTGAATAGCCACTGTTCGATTATATGCCATCACTCTTTCAAGGAAAGCTGGCGTTCCATGAAGAAAGGGCTAGTGGGGCTTGCAACTCAATTGCAACTCAAGTGTTTTTCCCTGAGAAAACTGCTTGAGTTTGGTATGCAGCCGAGCACTCAGTGCTCCTGTTTCCCATTTCATTACACCACATTTTTAAAATATACTCAAGACGAGATTTAATTAAAAAGTAATTGTTTTTACACCTTCATCAATATCCTTAAGTGAAACTGGATTTTTTTTTTCTGCAAAGCCAGGTGGTGAAGGATACAATGACACCAAGTACAGCCTTAATGTGGGCTAAAGCCCCATCATTTTTACTTCTGTTTTGCATTTTGACAGTGACGTATCAAAATGATATAAAAAGCAAGTACCCGCCAGGCACAGTGACCCATGCCTGGAATCCCTGCACTTTGGGAGGCCGAGGCAGGTGGATCACGAGGTCAGGAGTTCAAGACCAGCCTAGCCAAGATGGTGAAATCCCATCTCTACTAAAAATACAGAAACTTAGCTGGGCATGGTGGCAGGCTCCTGTAATCCCAGCTACTCAGGAGGCGAGTAAGAGAATTGCTTGAGGTTGCAGTGAGTTGAGATGGCGCCACTGCACTCCCAGCCTGGGCAACAGAGCAAGACTCTATCTCAAAAAAAAAAAGCAAGTACCATCTTATTAGTATTATGAAAAACAGATTTGACTTCTCATGCTCTCTGAAAGGGTCTCAGGCAACACTAGGGTTCCCTGGACTATGCTTTAAGAACTCCAGCCCTCTATGCTCTGACTTCTGCCTGCCTGTTGGTCCCCTCTTCATTCAGGGGTTTAACTGGGGCTCCCCTAGAAGCAGACCAGGAGACAAGGATTGAAGAGCAAGTAGTTGATTTGCTAAGTGACCCCAGGAAGTACTGGGAGGGGAGTGTGGGAGTGGCATGAAGAAGAGAAGGGAACCAATGCATGATGTGTTTGTTCATGAGCAGGTTACCCCGGCCGATAACTGGAGCTCAGTCCTGCAGGAGATGAGGTAGGATGGCCACGTCATCCTACTCCATCATGTGACTCAATGGCTGAGGGAGCTGGGGCATTTATCCTCCCGCTCTCATTGCTGCTGACTAGAGGCTGCTTGTGGAGACCTCCCCTATCCCTCATTCATTGTGACTTGGGGTATTCCCAAGTGCTGTTCCTTCTACCTGGAACCATCTTGTGTCCAACTCTTTGCCTGGCCAATGCCCGCTCATTCTTTAAGTCTTAGCACAAGCGTTACCTTTAGAGAGACTGTCCTTCATCCCCACTATTCTAAAACAGATTCCTCTGCCACAGTCATTAAAAGTACACACAGTTTTCCCCCTTAGAGAGCCCCCCTACAGTTTGTAATTCTTATATTTTTGTTATTCTTTATTTACTGCCTTTCTTCCCACTAACCCAGCACCTCTGTAGCATGAGGATGGGGACCGTGTCCACGATTTGTTTTCCACACTTACATTTCCAGCACCTAGAACATGCGTGGCACACTGTGGACATACAACAAACTCTTGTTGAGAGGATGGATGGGTCAGGAGTACATGAAAGCAAATAGCTAGAATTCCCAGTGGTGATTCAAAGCAAGTAATTCAGGTGATCATTTTAGAAAATTCAAGCACGCTGTTGACTATCGTCCTCTAAAGCTGAGTATGAGTTCAAAGTGCCTGAAGGAATCCCAGCCTTGGCCTGTGTGGGTCACAGACCCACACTAAAACATTAGCCACGCCCAGCTAATGTTTTGTATTTTAGTAGAGATGAAGTTTCTCCATATTGGTCAGTCTGGTCTCAAACTCCTGATCTCAAGTGGCTCAATTGCAGTCACTACTGCCTCCCTCTGCCCCTGACACCTTGCAGGTCCTATTTCCTCTTCGAGGACACTGATCCCACAAACTGATCCCACATGGGCATGTGAACATGATCTTAGAATGAGAAGAAAGGGAAATACCAGAGAAAGATTTCAATGTGTCTTTCCAAATTCTGACACACACCATCATACGTCATGACACTGTGCTTCACGTAGAAAGCAACAATAAAATCTGACTGGGCACGATGGCTCATGCCTGTAATCCCTGCACTTTGGGAAGCTGAGGCAGGTGAATCACCGAGGTCAGGAGTTCAAGACCAGCCTGGCCAGCACGGTGAAACCCCGTCTCTACTAAAAATACAAAAATTAGCTGGGCATGGTGCCACATGCCTGTAGTCCCAGCTACTTGGGAGGCTGAGGCAGGAGAATCGCTTGAACCCCGGAGGTGGAGGCTGCAGTGAGCAAAGATCCAGCCACTGCACTCCAGCCTGCAGACAGAGCAAGACTCCATCTCAAAAGAGAAGAAAAAGAAAAAAGAAAGCAACAATAAAATCCAAATTAAGAATGAATGAATAAATCATGCATAAGAACAACCATAAGATGGTGGAAGGAACTTTCCTCTCTAGATTTCATGCATACTGGATTTTATTT